CGAAGACTTCTACATATCCTTGTACAGCTCGCAAAGCCAGCCTAATGAAACCACAAAGGAGAACGTCAAAAGACAAATAAAAAACGTGGGATCAGAAGTACTATCAAATATAAAGGGATTCGAAATAGAAAGAGCTTTAAAAGAGCTAAAAAATAATAAAGCTCCAGCAGAATACGACGGTATAGTTGCCGAGCTCTTGAAAACAAGCAAGTAATACTCTTACACAAAAAAGGGGACAAATGTGATCTACAGAATTATAGACCTATATCGTTGCTCAGTCAAGTATACAAACTGTTTATGAGAATTATTAACAACCAGTTAACCTACAAAATGGACAATTACCAAGCGGTTGAACAGGCTGGCTTCCGCAAAGGATATAGTACATCAGACCATCTGCTGACAATGAGAAAATTGATAGAGAATACATAATATATATGAAAATGCAACTATGATAGTACAACTAGATGAATAAACAAACCCCATCCCCGTTAAGAGGAGTGGGACAAGGAGACGTAATATCGCCAAAGCTTTTTAACATAGTCCTAGAAGACGTCTTCAAAACTACAAATTGGTCAACCTATGGCATTAACGTTAATGGCAACAAGTTAAACCACCTCAGATTCGCTGACGACATAGTGATTATAGCGAGCACATTCGAGGAACTGCAAATTATGATGGGGGAACTAGCAGGCAGCTCCCAATACGTCAGCCTAAAAATGAATATGAAAAAAACAAAAATAATGACAAACACAGATGACCCCAGATGTATATAAATGGCAGTGAGATAGAACAAGTCCAGGAATATATCTACCTAGGCCAAATCCTGAAACTTGACAAAGAGAACCAAAGTGCGGAAATTACTAGAAGAGCAAGACTAGCATGGGCAGGATTTGGAAAACTTAGTTGAATACTTAAGAACCACAAAATACCCCAATACTTGAAGAGCAAAGTGTTCAACCAATGCATCCTTCCTATCATGACATATGGATGTCAAACCTGGACCATAACCAAGGCAAACATGAATAAACTAGCCACAACAGAAAGAACAATGGAAAGAGCAATGTTAGGTATACAACTGTTAGATAAAAAGAGGAACGACTGGGTAAGATCAAAAACAAAAGTCAAGGACATAACAACAAAATTGCCAAAATTAAATGGAGCTTCGTGGACCACACTGCTAGACAAAAAGACCAACGTTGGAATACTACAATACAACATTGTAGACCTTACGAAAGTAAACGACCAAGAGGAAGACCACAGATGAGATGGTTTGATGACATTAAAAGAATAGCCGGAACAAATTGGAAATATGTTGCTCAGGATAGAGACTGATGGAAGGAGATGGGAGAGGCCTATGTCCAAACATGGACGATAGAAGGCTAAAAAGAAGTATCTCAATAATCCGTGGCTTATTTTCTTTGTTGATGACATATATTAATAACATTGTAATAAAAAAGTTTTAAAAATTACATTGATGTACACAAATTGATTTAACAATAAATAATACTTTTTAAGCTTACAAGGGTTGTTTTAGTTTTGCATACAATAGCCATAAAGACAAAAATATGTTGACTGAAAGTACTTCATTGCAAGTCCATGAGTTATACTTTTCAGTATCAAGAAAAATATGTTTCTTATAAAAAAATCTTTATTGATAAAGAAACTAAACATAGGATAAGTTAAATAAAAGGCATATTATACAATGTTTAAGAATTTAATTTATTATGAAGCTTCAAAATGAATGTTTTTAATGTGCATAAAAGCCAAATGACCACGAGGAAGAGCGCAAATGAGCTGGGGCGACGATATTAAAAGAACTGCAGGACCAATATGGAAACATCTTACAAACAGAGATGACTGGCGAGAATTAAGAGAGGCCTATAGAGAAAAGGGCTTAAAAAAATACTTCTGTACACTTGATTTTACTGTCATAGAGTATGTGGGATTAAATTATTATTTTTTTTTTGTTTTTTGGTTTAAGTTTAAGGCCCCTTAATGTTGTACTATTCCTCGCACCCGTAGGGTATTTGGATTTTAATAGCTTCTCACTGGTTTAATGTATGGCTTAAATTAATTATTCAGAAAATGGTTCCCTTACATGAGGCACAAATCATATCAATTGTAAAGTTGCAAAAATCTAAATCCTATATCAAAATCACCCTCAAGACCTATGACCTTCCCGACAAAAATTCCTGGATCCGCCACTGTTGAAAAGTTTTATCATAAGGAAACATGGTTATACAAAGCCGAGAATGTTCAGAAGTATTTTTAACAAGTAGGTATTTTAGAAAAACAATGTAGAAAGTGTCAAAAATATAAAACAAAATATAGAACATGCAGATCAGAAAATGTTAACAGTTTTATAGATAAAACAGTCAATGGTCCAGACAGTTATTATAACATAATGGAAGCTATAGGGAAGAATATATCTAAATATAAAATTTATCATCCAAAATATAAAAATCTTTCACAAATATGTTTGATAATAGAGAAAAAGAAAAGCTTATTGCCTGACCATTTTGACTTATTGCCCTGTAGAAGAGACAGGAGGGAAATAAATATACAACCTAAAGAACTGGAAACACACATAAACATGAAGACCAGGATTATTAAGATGGACTATTAGAAAAAACGTGAAAATAGAGAAATGACAACTAGAAAAACAAGAAAAGAACCAAAAAAATACAAGTTTTATACAATATAATAGCATACAATAATGTAAATGACCAGTCATTGCCACTATAAGAAAGTTAAAGCTAAAAACCACATAAAGCCAAAAAACCAATAATTGCCACACAATTTTTCAAAATACCAATTATTGCCACCTAGTCATTGCCATACAGAAATAACTCTACATTTTACTGAAAAATCTTGTTTATTAATAAAAATTCCACAGGTTTTAGGCCTCAAATACATCCACTGGCAAAGTAAATTCATAACTGATCTGTTCACCAGTGGATAAAATAATAGGGGTCAGCGGTATGCCTAAAACACGATTTTCGTTAACAAAGTAGATGTATTATCACAAATAAAAATGTTCTTTTCAGCACTAACAGATTTCATAGACATTACTTGTACATCATTATTGTCCATAAGGCCTTGGAGAATACAAACATATCTGTATGTTATGGATTTTTTTACCACCTAGGAATTTCACAAGTACATAGTTTCCCACACTAAGTTCTCCGTGAGTTAATGGGCAAAATTCTTTGTTAGGGTCATCACAAAAGTCTATGTCATCACAGCTGCTACCACTCTTGACCCACTCTTCATCCTTTCCATAGTCATCAGAAATATCCCGTTTAAGCTTCTCTTTCAATAGACTTTCTTGCTGCTCTCATGCAATTTTTCTTTGGTTTTTTCTTCTTTCTTTTTCTTTTTATTTTCTTTTTTCAAGTGATATTCACGCCAAGCTTCTGATTGTACCACGGATGGAATCTTTTCTTTTAGTTTTATCTTCTTTGTCTGAGGTTTTGGGTCTGGCCAAAACAGTGCTTTCTTAAATGGGGTAGGAACTTTGCATGGACTCTACAAGTGTACATGTGATGTACTTGGTTCAGGAGTAGACAATGTATCTGAGCTATGAGTACCAGAGATATTTGGTTGGAAATCTTTTACTGGTGTGCAGTTGAGTTGGAAATATGGTAATATTGTTTTGGATGGTACATTTAATTTGGTTTGGTAGTGTTTTCATTGTCCATTCTTTTCATATGTTAAAAAGGGATTTATCCTCAATAGAACCATTCCAATCCTGATTTTCATTTAAAGTTACCTTGAACCTATTTAAAGTTTCTTCACCCGGCTTTCCTTCAAAATACTTAAGTGCTTAAGTGACACTCTTTGTGTCACAAAGCTTGTCAAAAACAAGCGAAATCATTTGTCACTGGGACGGCTATGAATAAATGATTTCTCTCTTTCTGTAGAATTTATTATTTTCTGAACTGTATCCAAAAACTGAACTTTTGAAACAGGAAAATGTCTTTCTGATAGATGTAAAATCCATTTCACTAAGACTGATTCATCTTCTTTGGTTAAAATTGTAAAAAGGTCCATAGAACAAAATAATGGTGACTTTCCATCTCTCTTATGCCTCAAAGTACTATGAGGAACTCCATGAATTTTTGCTGCCGTAGCTGCTGGGATTCCCTTTTTCATATTCTCTAGGGCTTTGGCCAATTGCTCTTTCAAATAATTCCGTTTAGGTGCCATTTCTGGAATGAATAAAATACTTGTAATATCAAATATTAATGTAACCAATGATTGCCACTTTAGAACCAGTGATAAAAAAAAATAGTGGCAACACTGTAATTTTAAATAGTAAATTTACACATTATAATGAATTAAAAATAAGCCAACCCAATAATGGCCACTTGTGGCAATGACTGGTGTTCATAAAATATTTTGTAACCAGTCATTGCCAGGTAGATTTCTTTAGAAATATGTACCCTTAACTGAATTTAAACAGCAAACAAATGTAGTTTAGAGTATTTAAGTGGAGCACATGTGTAAATAATTTTATAAAACAATCATTTACAAAAGTGAATAAGAAAAAGAAAAATGTACTTACCTTAATTTTTTCATAAGAAATCACAAAAAATAGGAAGAAATTTTACACAACACTACTCTAAGGGGTATACAACAAAAATCGCTGATGCTTGGGTATTGTACAACAGTATACAGTTGCCAAACTTAATAAGGTATTAGTACTTGCAAAAAATATAATTTGATTTCAAGTAATTTTCTTATTTTCTTAGAATTTAAGGGTCAGTGGCAATAATTGGTAGAGTGGCAAGGACTGGTTGTTTACCTTACCGTTTTGATGTACCTACCTACTTGCTACTGTAATATACCTACATATAGGCAAATTTTGCAATTAAATATTTTTTAGAATAATAATTGATCTTATTGTATATAGGTCAACAAACACAGCTTCTCAGCTGGAATAACAGAATTGTCATTATAAAAGTGTGACAATTATTATAACTACAAAACTTACATACCTCTCGGGCCCTGTGGGCCGCACCTGGTCTAGCAATTAGAGCGGTCCCATTGCAAACAACTGCCGTGTCTTCAACAAAAACACATTCTGGCATTGATTCATCCGGAGGCAGTTCTATGACATCCAAGCCAATCTCACGTAATATCCTCACATAATTTTCGTGTTGCTTTTTGGCTTCTTCTAAGTCAATTTCTCCACGGTTTCGCAGAGAACTCGGTATGCGGCTAACGACAGCGTGTGTATACCGAAACGCCGCCATTTTACTATCCGTTGACGTTCACAACAAACAAACGGAACGGATAAAAACAAACTGGGAAGGGATGATTGTTGTAGACCGCTGACTCTGCCGTCTGATTTTTGATAAATTAGAGGTGCGATCACCTAGGGTTTACCGTTACGCTTTTATTTAGAGACTCGCAAAGCGCAATCCGAGATACTAATTGAGGAAGATCTGCCTCATCTCTGCCAGTCCGAGCTAAGAATATCGGATAGGTGTGGGGAAGAGTGGGTTCAGCAAAATGTTAAAGGTAAAAGAGGTATTTAGTTGACAAAAGTCTATTTTTGTATCTGATTTGAATATGAATCGATTTATGATTAGAATTCGACAGTGTTGTCCCCTCAAAATCAGTTAAGAATTTCACGTTTAACTGAGTTTTTGAAATAGAGGATTTCCTGTTAATACACCGTCTGATCATATTAAAACAACTTTAAAACGACATTTGAATACAATAAAAACGTGAAAAATGAAAGTATGAATTCATTATTTTAAGTACTTGTATTTGTGATGGTAGAGGACAGGCACCAAATGTGACACTTTTTTGAAAACAAATATAAAACAAAATATTAAAAAGTTTTTAAACCATTTATTTCGAAAACTTAAATTTAATGTTTCTAGAACACAACAAAAAAAAAATAAAGCGAATAAAACATATAATTTTGCAAAAAAATACATTTCATTTTTTTGCGACATTTAATATTAAAAATAAAAGGTGCCCTAATTTGGAATAGCCAGGTATCTAAACTTGAGACAGGTACCTTAATTTGAGATACTATTCAAAAAAGCCCTTTCCTTCGCAGAAAAGGCAAATAAATGTCTTGGACTTTATTTCTCCACAGTCTTCATTGCCCACCTGCCACATTGGTCACACTTTGCCCATCGTTCGCCATAGCTATCGTCGGAAAATTTGCCGGTGCAAAATAAATATTCCGAGTCGTTTTCTCCATTTTCGTTGGACGATGAATCAGCTAATGGAAAGTCTTCACTGCTATCTGAGCTTGAACTCGAAGAAACTTTCCGCTTCCTTCTTGATGTTTTGCCTTTTGATGTAGAAGGTTGATCTACATCTTTATCTGCTATTTATTCGTCTGACGTTGCTGTTTTTTTTTTGCTCTAACACCTTTTGTTGAACTGTCTTTTTCTGTAGCAAATACTCAATCCAAGTTTAGCTGGGTACTAGATTTTTGCTTTTTTCTTCTGCAAACTTGAGTCCAATTCTTCTTTGTAGGGTGTTAGAGTAATTACTGAAGCCTTTCCTGATCTGGCATGTCGTTTTTTAGTGGTATCTCTTTTGTAGAATGTAGGGATTGGGCAGATGTCTTTCGGAGAAACAAGTTGTTGATGAGGTAGTAGTGGACTAGGAGTTCTATGTTCTCTCATCGGATGATTTGGTTGTTCATGATTTGGTTCTATTATTTGTTCATCCCTTTCGTTTTGTGTTTCTAAGTGCTCTTGAATTTAAAATTCAAAGTCCCTAAAAATATGGCGACAAATAGTGACCAGTCCAGTTTTTCGCAAACCATTGCAAGATATTTCCATCGTCGCAGCTTTGTTATACGCTTTACAAAAAATACTGGCAATGATATAAGGTAACACAACACTTAACTGATTTTCTATTTCTTGTGCGTAGTAAGTTTTCAGCGGTGCCATGTGGTGGGAGGTAAATAATCGTCACATGATTCTATTTGGCCAAATCTGTTAGAGCAACGTTTCTCGTATGAGAATACCGTCAAGGACGAGAAGAACAGGGTCTACAGCTAAAGGTTTGGTAAATTTTATAAAGTGTTGAAGTCATCTAGTGAAAATATCGGCTTGTACCGAACCTGGCACATGGCATTCTGCGACTGCTCCAGTGGGAGCTCTTAGCATCAACTCTGTTTTCATATTTTTTCTTGGGAAGATTAATAATGGTGGTACGAAAACTCCTGCAGCATCCATACATGTAATAGCAGTAATCAGCTTGCCCCTTTTTGCTGAAGTAAATGACGAAACCTGCTTCTTCCCTCTCATGGAAATTACTTTGCTATGTTTGTGCTAAACAATTGTAAGGCCCGTTTCGTCTACATTGAATATACGTTGTGCAGGGTTAGTAAACTTAAGATATTCTGGTTCATACAGGCCAAGGAACAGATACATTTTCAGGAGTAAAAGATTTTACTCAAGCACATGACATTCCCTGAGGGGTACCTACAAATTTAAAGCGTCGGATGCCTTTTCATAAAGAGCCTTAACCATTTCTTTCCGGCTGATTTTTTGACTCTGCTAAATGGATGTGGTATTGAGTTTCCTATTGCAAGTTGAGATCCCAGTCGTTTTGTATCACGCGCTCTTAGTCCGAAATAACATTCTCCATAGCTAGGGCATACTCAACCAACTCATTTTCTAATTCCAAAGGAAGAATAGGTCTTGTCTGTTTAAGGCCTTCAAATAGCCCATATCTCTATTTCTTACTGTATTTACAGCCCGCATTTGCGTTCCATTTTTATTTTTTGGCGGCATCTATAAACAAAAAAAACACATAAAAATAAAATATTACACGGGTCCTAATTTCAGACACTATCAAATTAGGAACCTACAGGTATCTCAAATTAGGATTTTTCCGTTAAAAATAAAACGCATTTTTGCCACACAATTACCGTTTAATTTGCATAAAATGTTTTAACTAATATTAAACTAACAAAAAAAAAATTGGAGTAAATGTAATCATCTTTCCTTGATGTATGTAAGTTTCTATAAATTCCGAAAAAAAATTGTGTAATGTGTAAATCAAATTAACGTCGAAAAATCAACAAAGGTCACTTCTAAGCGGATCAACTAAAAGCAGATCTACCACTACTGCACAGAATGATCAATTTTCAATATTTTCACTAGATGTCACCATATCGTACAAAAATATACGAAGGTGTCTCAAATTAGGCGCCTGTCTCGAATTCGGTGCCTTTCCTCTAATATGCCTCGCTCATGAAAATGAAAGTAATACAAATAACATTAAAATATTTTTATTAAACATTGATGTCGAGGCTGCGTATCTAGTTTATTGCTTCAGGAAGTCACTCCGTGGTCACTCTAGATATGCTCGGAGATGGCATTTAGAAGTAATGTATTGTATGGGTTGTCTTTCATGGTCACAGTCACAATCTGAAGACTGAATATTACACCATTTGTTAGGATGTCAGCAAATCTACCTCATCCGGTAAGAATTCAATTGAGTGTCACCTAAGTATGTCTTCTTCTTCTTCAGCCTTAAGTAATCCAACTTTGGACATAGGCCTCCCGATCTTCATCTGCTTCTCTTTCCCAACCAAGGTCTCCATTGTTGTATTTCGTGGTTCCGTCTTTTATCCTTTAGTTGGGCTCCGAAGCTCCATTTTAATTTGGCAACATGTTCTCCTCTGCCTTTTACTTGGATTTTGCTTCTAATCCATTTGTTTTTTTTTTTGTTTATAAGTTTTACCCCGAGCATTGATCTTTCCATCGCTCTTTGTGCTTATAATATTTTATCCATATTAGACTTGGTGAGTGTCCACGTCTGTGAACCATACGTGAGTATAGGTAGGATACACTGATCGTAAATTCTGGTTTTCAAATATTGTTCTATTTTAGTGATTTTCAAGATCCAACTCAGTTTTCCAAATTCTCCCATGCTAACCTTATTCTTCTGGTAATTTCGGCAGTTTAATTTTCTTTGTTAACTTTCATTATCTGTCCCAGGTAGATGTATTCGCTTACTGTGTCTAAATTGATGTCGTTCAACGTTATTTCTCTAATGTTCGGTGTATTTGTCATTATTTTTTTTCCAAGTTCATCTTAAGACTTACATTTTCCGAAGCTTGAAATAGTTGCGTCATTATGGTCTGTAGTTCTTCGAAACTTGTAGCGAATATTACAATGTCATCAGCGTGTCTCAAATGACTCAGTTTTCTTTCATTAACATTTATTCCTTTATCTACCAAGTTAATGTCTTTGAACACGTCTTCCAGTCCAAGTGTCTTCTTCTTCAGATGCAAATCCACTAATGGATGTTAGCGATCACATTTTCCATTAATTTTCTATTTCTTGCAATATGTATCAGAGATTATATGTCGTTAATCCCTGTCCATTGCCTTATGTTTCGGAGCCAGGACATTTTCTTGCGTCCCAATCCTCTCTTGCTTTCAATTTTACCCTCGATTATAAGTTGGAGGAACTGGTATTTTTCATTTCGCATGATGTGACCTAGATACGCCGTTTTCCTTTTCTTGATGGTTTCGAAAAGTTGGCGTTCTTGGTTTATTATTTTAAGGACATCTATATTTGTTATTTTCGCTGTCCATGGTATTTTTAGGATACGGCGATAAAGCCACATTTCGAAAGCTTCTAATCTGTTTATATCCCTCGTTTTGAATGTCCAGCTCTCTACGCCATATAGCAGCACTGACCATACGTAGCACTTAGTAAACCTTAGTCTCATGTGAAGATCGAACTCTGAACAAGTCAGTACCTTCTTGAATTTTACGAAAGCTTGTCGAGCTTGCTCAATGCGACATTTTACTTCCCTGTCCGATGCCCAGTCTTCAAAAAGCCACGATCCCAGGTATTTAAATTTACTCACTCTTTCAATGGACTTAGTATTCAGTGTTATGGTGGAGTTTTCAAGTGCATCCAAGTTTCTGGAGATGATCATGAATTTGGTCTTTAGTCCTTTAGTGGTTTAGTCCAAGTGTGAATAGTGTTATATTTTTATTAAAGTCTAATTTATTGTCTTTATTTATTATCAAAAGTTCTACATTTATAACACTTACAAGTTTCTTTTTAAAGTCTTTATTTGTACAATATAATTAATTTATTTCACACATTTATTACAATACGAGCGTTACATTTAATAACTCGACGCGATATTATCTTCAGACTAACTGTTTTCCACAAAACGGTTCCTTTAATTATACAAAATGCCGTTAGCATGGAATCTCTTTCGAAGCCCATGAATGTTGACCTGAATTGTC